TTCATGGTTCTGCTTAAACATCTGGATGTTGATTGTGTTTTGTGTCTGTGTGTGATAGCGAGACACAACAGGACACCCATTATGCACAAGGGTCACTTAGGTGGTGACTTCAGTAGGATGCAGAGATGCCTAAGCCAGGGGCAAAGCTAATTTTAATAAGTGGAACCACTGCTGTGAGCTTGCTGTGAGCAGTACGAGTCAGGGTGGATGAAGTACCATACTAACCAGGTTCTGCTGATTCAGGGGCTGTCATCTCTGTGGTGGGCAGATGTATCAGCTTGCTTTTCTAAAGCTTAGGGTATAACAAGGCACTTCAGTTTGCTATATAAACACTTCTAAGGTTTCTAACACTGGCAATGTTAAATGTGAAACCAAAGCTGGACTTACAGGTTTCTGATAGACAAGAACTGAAATAGTGATACTACTGAACTATTCACGCCACCCAGCCTCAGGAAGGTTCCATACATGCCCACATCAGGAGACTACTGTGCTCTTTGGTCTATCTATGGCAGGAGATGAAAGATGAGATATTTCAGCCCTGCAATTCAGGGTTCACAATTTGGGTTGCCCAGTCTGGGTTTCTATCTCAATTTCTGCTATGAAGGAATCTTTTTGTTTTCCACAGTGCATTACCTCCAAATTTAGATACCGAAGTTTCATATCTAATTTTAGGTGTTTGGACGTCAACTGCACTTCTAAAGACACATAAATAGTTACTTAGAGTTCCATAGTTCTAATGCAATTAGTGATACCACTTTGCATTGGGAACATTGTAATTATTCTTCCCAGTAATAGATGTGTCACCCAGTATGGTTTGAAAATGCAGTTATTAAGCATACTAGAGATCAAAGAGATCACTAAGGAGAGTTATATAGTATCTTGTCATTTTGTGTTAACCTGCTTTTATGCTTTGACTTATTGCACTCTAAAAATCAAATGCCTGCAAATAAGAACACTGATAGTTTACATCAGGGAGATTATACTTACAATATATGCTGAGATAACAGATACCGTGTTTCCCAAAGCTTATTTTTACCATTCTCATACATATGCTGCTGTATTATATGACTAAAATGTCAGTTTCCATCACATAGATTATATAAAGTGTACTAAAATCTGTTGTTTTCAGCATTATATAGCTGAAGATTTTTCTGGAGATAACTAACTGCGAGTAGGAATATATAGTTTTATCTGTCACACAATAATCTAGAACAATGCAAAGTCAAAGCTTAATGCTAAGATTATCCAAGCTACACTTTCTAAGCAAGCATAAGCAATAGAACAAGCATGCTACCTGACTGTCTGGACTACAGTGTCCCTGTGACATGACTGTTTTTTTCCTGATTGTCATGCCATAAGTAAAAAAATACACTCGTGTTCTTTTTTAAAATTAGAGATTCTTTAGCATAATGTGATCCTAAGACTAGGGATCAGAGCACTAGGTGAATTAATAGAACAGCAAAGGTTCTCCTTCCCATTTGTGTAGAATATTGTATATAGTCTTTATTGCCATCATCCTCCTGTAGCACTGCAACTCGTAACTTCAGTGAACTCCAGGAGACTAAATGTCATGATAACCTGCAGAGATATAATGTCTTCTGAAACATTTGCTTAACACAAATGTAACATAGCTGTGTAAATTTCAAACCAAGTGTAATATATGCTTCGCCTTGCATATCTGCTTATCTGAACTTCTGGATTTTGATTAGTGAATTAGAAAAATAATTATCCATAGTCATCAACTGAAAATGTTAATCATGTCAAAGTCAGTGGTAAAATGTGTAGAGCTGCAATAGAAGAGGAAATGGGCACCTTACTGCATATCCTATGAAATACAGAATTTGAAGTCATTCTTTTATTGACCAGTGATATCAGAAGTAACCTCCCAAAGACTGGAGAGAGGCCAGTCATATCACACAGAGATGTTATGCCAAAAGACTAACTGTACTTTGTTTTCTTTCTGGCTTTTGAGAACACTGTAGAAGTGAGAACACTTTGAATGCTTTTTTGAGAATACTGTTTGGTTTCTGTTTTTTTTTTTTTTACCCAGAAAAAAGGCAATTAACATAATTGTTAATTACTTGCTTTTAAATTCCCTGTGAGAATTCTGTTACCATTCCCTCTGGCATGCACCATATCTTTCTTAGAACTCATCAATTACTGTGAGGACTGCTACTGCATCTCCATTTCTTAGTACTTTCCAGCAGCTCCACATACGTTAAACACAAGTTGAAATAAATGTATTAAAATTACAACACATGCTGCATCTGGTGGGAACCTAAGGGAAATCTTAGGCTAGTTGTCAGCTTTTCACAAATGTGAAAATTGTAGGTTAAATAAGAAAAATTGGTAACTTCTCAGTTGGTGTGTGTGTTGTTATACTGGAATCAGACAGCCTTCAGCAAATTGAAGTACTTCTTTTCTTAGGAAGGGAGGTCTTGGCTCAAATTATTTTTCTCTTCTGTAGTCTACACTTTTGCCTATTGTTAATTCATTCCAGAATGGTCAATTAAGCAGTGTAGTGGTGGCTTTGGGTAAATGTCTTAGTGGCATAAATAATCCTAGCCTGTTTCCCCAAGCACCTAACCAATCCCATTCGTTGTTTTTTTAAGTCATTCTGCTCATCTGTCACTCTGAAAGTGGCATAACCTCTTAACTCACCGAAACACATATGATTTATTGATTTTGGCATTTTGATCAGCAATGTTCTCTGAAGGAAATCCAGTCCTTGTGACGATGTTTTAGTTGCATGAGTGCTATTCAATGGTGGTAGTTCAATGACAGCATGCTGTAAAAGTAAAAATATAACTGATACTCAGCAGAGCTTTTTTTTTCAGTAACTATTCCAGTTGCTTCATTCAAAGTCACCTTTAGAAAATAGCATTTACTGACTCTCTCTTCTTCTCCCAACTCCTAACAATGTTATTGTAATTCACTTTGTTCTTATATAAATGAGGATAAATATGTGCACATTATACTTGTATAAATTCAAAACACTACCCAACAACTTGCAGGAGATATGATTGTGAAGTTCTTTACCAGAAAGCAGTGCTGCCACATGTTCTTCCCATCACTGTCTTCCCAGTGCAGTAAGTCTCCTTTGTCTAATTCATGGGTGACCTTTGAACAAACAGCCTGAACAGATATTTGTGTTAACATACTTCTGCAGTGCGACTCAGATCTCACAAAACTACCGCTTTATTCCTCTTACTTGAGGAGACAAATAAACCTGTCAGCTGTGTTTGGCTTTCTCTTTGATGTTGATGTTCAATCATTTAATTTCTCAGATTTTTTTCCTCTTTTCCTCATTGCATTTTAGAAGCATCTGTATTTAATTTATGTGTCCATGTTATCCTTGTGGTTCAGATTCCCATCATCACTATTTCATGAACTTTGTATAATCCATGTTTGTAACATGACTAGAGAAGCCCTTCCTGTTATCTTTGACATCCCTGGCCAGACTCAATCCTGTTTGGGTCTTAGCTTTCCAGACCTGATCCCTAGCTTCATGGACAATGTCCTGTATTCTTCCCAGGCTGCCTGTCCTCGCTTCCACCTTCTATAAGCTTCTTTTATCCTTCTAAGTTTCCTCAGCAACTCCTTATCCATCTGTGGAAGCCTCCTGGACTTCTTGCTCCATCTCCTTCTTGTTATGACACAACACTCCCGAGCTTTGAGCGGGTGATCCTTGAATATCAATCAGCATTCCCTCCCTGCCTTCTAGAGCTTTATCCCATAGAATATAAATTGGACATCTTAAAATCAGGAGATCTGATACATTCATACAACTTTCATTTTAAACTCCGAAAGCCTTCAATGAATGTTTAGATAATGCAGAAATCCAAGAGGACATGAAGGTAACTGAAGGATGAGAAGAAAACTAGCAGTGAACCAAGATGTTATAAAGATTAACTTGTAGGTCTGTCAAGCAGACATTGATAGGGGAAAGAACAATGTAAACAAAAGAAATTAAGCACGGTGAAGGAGGCAACAGCAGCTGATACTGATTATGGAAAACATTTAGGAAATAAACAGGATCATATTTAAAAATACATTCATGCATTTGTTTGCTAGAGGTGATGGTCTCAATGCATATGACAAGTCTCTGGGGGGTGTTTGTCTTACGTGGCGTTTTGGTTACTACATTATAATGACAGAAAGTCAGCAGAGTAATCGTAAAATGGGTGGGAAAATGATTACAAGACAGGATTCAAAATTGGAAAACATCACTGAGGAGGTTTTACAGACAGCATACAAGTTCATTTACATGATATTATCCACCTGCTAGGTGCTTAAATACATGGGGTGGGGACTGATGCACCCTTATTGCTTTGTATTACGCTCAATTTTGTTTTACTCTTGTAGCTACATTTACCTGTCAAAGGTTCTTTTCAATTTCAGTGATGGGTTTAATTTAACACCCAGCACCATAACAGCAAGGTAAATAGAGATGTTTAAATTCCCCCTGCAAACCAGAGGAGTCCAAGGCCTTCTTTTCTGTAACAAAGCTTTCATTAGCACTTGACAATGAGATTCTGCAATGGCTCCAGCTCTCAGTGGAATAGCTGGTGCTGGCGTGGGAGAGCAGGAGACTGCCAATAGCCTCTGTGTGGCTTGGCGCCCGCAAAGTGGCTGTCAGTTTGCTTATGTCCCTAATCTGACAGTCACTAAAAATAGTTCAGGTGGATGCTTTCTACTGATGAAGAAATCATGTTCCTCTGGATACTTACATTAGAAAGAAAGGGAACAATTAGTGAATTCTGCTTTATTTACTTCCACGTTTACAGTTAAGCGTATATAGGAAAGCTTTCACATTTTTTCCAGTTTCTGGAAAAATATGGAAGCATCACAGGCAAAAGAAGACTGCACAGTGTGGAACCTGAAAATACAGAACATATTTTGCTCATGAAATGGCATTTATGGCATAACTTTAAAATTACTTAAGTTTAAGCACACAGTTGTTTCTGTCTTAATAGTAACTAATGCACTTTTTGTTACAGCCAGCAATCAGCTGAAGACCTTGCAAGAGTACCTGCTAATTCTACCAGCAATATCTTGAATAGGCTATTGCTCAGTTATGATCCCAGGATAAGGCCTAATTTCAAAGGTTAGTCAGATATTTTAGACTTTGTTTTAATTTTTGGAATTTAACTTTTGCTCTTTTCACACATAGAAAATTTATACAGTGCTAATATTCACAACCTAAATTTCAGTTTGTTTGGTAGATTTTGTTTGTTTGGGTTTTTTTTCTTTTTAATGGAAATTCCCCTAGGTAGTGTGAAACTGCAGAAGATATTTACCCTTATGAGCTGAAAGGTAATAAGTTAGGATTTCGTGATCATAATAGCATGTGATTATTATTACTAATACTATTACTATTATTTTATAAAAGACTTTTTAAAATTAGAATTAGGTTCCATAGAATGAGTTTTTTAAATGTCTTTTTATCCCTACATTTTAGTTAGACTTTTGTAGTATTTCAAATTTTCAGTATTTTATAACTGTAAAAATATGATCAAAATTCACTATTGGTGTTATTTAAGATGGCTTTATAAAAATGGGGATCAGCAGTATCACTATTTGGAAACTATATGGTTACTAAATCCTTTAAAGATATATTATAATACAGGTTACACACTTTGGGGTTTCAAGTAGGTAATAAATTTAAATTTTAAATTCTTTGCCTTTAAAACATCTCTGTGGTAGTCAGATCTTGTAGGAATCTTCCATGTAGGAAAATTTAATTTCCTTACATTTGCAGAAAAGGTTGGAATGCATCTTCCCTGAAAAGCCTCTAATAACTCCTACAGCTGGAAAAAGACATAGGCCATTTTATTACATTACAGACACTGAAGTTTACATAAATCAGTCCTTTTGCTTTAGAACTTCCATTGAATTGTGTGTGCATTAAGAGATATTTTAACATGCATATCAATAGTACGGGACATTTGGTAATCCATAATTTTTACTGGGCTTCTGAAGAGACCATTTTCAGATGTTCTATTTAACTAACTTTTCTAAATGTATTAGACTCACTTCCCAGCAAGTGTCTTATTTCTTATTCTCTGTAGAACCATTTATGTTTTCAGCACAGAGCCTTGTCACAAAGAATAAACATCCAGCCTTTACTCTACCTGTTCTTCAGCATGATCAGCTTGTAATTGCAAAGCATGCTGCAGCTTTCCTTATATTTTTGATAACCTTGCTGGCAGTCTGTAAGAATCAAGACAGAAGGAAAAGGGAGGACTTTCAACGTTAACTCCAGGGAAGTGGAAGGAAAAGAACATTTTCTGACAAGTGGTTTGCTCATGTTAAAACGTTCCTCACACATGACTGATTTTCTTAGTGGGCACTTCCTATTCAAATCTGGAAGAGATAATAATACACTCTTGGCTACCAGTGAAGTGGTGGGTGCTCTGTTACACACATCAGGCAATAAACAAAGTATTATGTTTATTGCATAATCAAAATCATCACACTTAACTAGTCTGATTTAAAAGAAAAAAAAACAACACCTGGTTTAACTGAAAAAAGTGAAATTTTATCTTAGTGATCTTCTGGTGAACCAAGAGAGCGAGTTTGAATTTATGTATTAAATGTACACCAAAATATTTCATGCAGGCAAGCAAACTATTAGATGAGGCACATATTACTTTGTATTGTATTTGCTTACCCTGTCAAAATATTCTTCATATATTCTTATATCTCTTTTGTTGCTGAAATTAGGAAGAAACCCACTGAATTAAGTATTTGTAACAGTGTAAATGAGATCAGATACATGCATCTAGTGCACATACTGACACTCAATATATAGGTGCTAAATAAAACTAGTGGGCCATAATTAGTTCTCACAACCATCAGGGCACTTCTCCTTGCTTCATGATAACTCTTTGTTAACACCAGATTAAATGACTGCCAGTCAGTTCCCCCAGGGTGACGGAGGGCAGATGTAGCAGCTGTCACACCATCCCTCTTCAACTACAGGAATCCTGGCTGTGGAAAAGAGGAAAAAATCCAGGCCATTTTAGTATCTTCACAGCTGCTGGCTTCTGGAATTTTTTCTTGGCTAATTGGTAACCATTGTAAAATGGAGCAACTTTCCAGCTCTCTTGCACCAAGGCTAGATAGCTGTGAAGGCTGAACAAAACAACTTTTCTTTCTCTGTATTCATACTTCATGGTTATGTACTTCACTTGCACAAAGAAGTAACCTCTTACCATATAGGTAAATATCTCATCATAAATCATAAACAGGTAATTTGGGATGATAGATCTTGACAGTTAAAAGTGTCTGCTGCTAGAAATGGGAATTGCCTCTATCCACTACTGTGTGTGCAAAAATAATAGTGGATTGTGCATTCTGTAGTAACAGAAAATCATGGAATTTGAAAATTACTCAGATTTATGATCTGTGATATGCTTTAAGCTTAGCACTCTGGACTAAGTGTGTTTTTTTCTGTTTTCTTATCACTAGGTTGAAAAGAGTTTCTGTGATTTCTCTTGGCTTTCAATGGAAACAGATTATACCACAGCTTTTGAAAACTGTGTATATATTAACTTTAAAAGATAACGTTGTATGACCCTATAAAAAAAAGACATTTCACATAGTGATATCAGTATAAAGGAGCTTTAAATGAAAGATAACGTACCTTTACTGGACTGTGCAGTTCACCAGAAATATTTCTCTATTTTTCTTTCTTTATTTTTTTTTAAGGAATTCCAGTTGATGTTGCAGTCAACATCTTCATAAACAGCTTTGGGTCAATTCAAGAGACAACTATGGTAAGACAAGTTATTGTAGCACACATGGAGATTTTCTCATTAAATTAAATTTCAGACTGAGGATTATGAATTGTAAAGTAGAAATGATTGTTATGATTGTAGACCCTGAGGACTGGGTTAATGGGGTTAGTGACTGACTGTGCTTTATGCCATAAACCTATTAATCTATTTCACTCTATATTTGTCCACAGATTGTTATAGCTTTTAGGATCTGATGTACATGAAAGACATGAAAGGTTTCTAAGATGCAAGGAATGCACTTATTTCCATAAGTTATTAAGTTCAGGGAAGAACACATCTGGTAGTATGAATTAGGTAATCTTGCAGGCAGTTAATATATAGGTTGCTTGGTGTATTACTAAAGAAAGTAATGAGACTGTGTATGAGAGAAAAAGAGTGTACATGCATAAGGCTGAAGCATACAGGTTCTCTGTTTTATGTAGTTCTGAGGATAGAAGTAAATCATGGAGGAATAGAAGGACAAGGAGTACAGGAGTAGACCATCAATGACGATATTCTTACTTCCATTTATTTACTGTGTGAGAGAGAGAAACTGAGGAGTTAAGATTCTAAAAATGTGTTTCCAATTCCACCAGAAAATTTCAGAATGTCAAGAGCAGCTCTAAATAATCCTCAGTATAGTTTTGATTGTTTTTGTTTATTTAGGAAATAAAACCTATTTCAAAATAAGAAGTCATTTCAGCAAAACACTTCCCAGTGTTTTGGGACTTGAAGATCTTTTTTGCAATGATATTTCCAATAAACGCCAAAAAAATACTACCCAAAAAGTTGCATTTGATTGTTGAAGATGTTCTGACCTGATCAGGGCTGTTCTTTTGTGCAAAAAAGAAGGGAGTACACCATGTCTTGCCAGCATGGGTGAAGCCACAGCCAGAGCATGCACTCAGAGTGGGAATTCTGAGGTGCTCCCTCAGCATCCCATTTAGAAATAACTTCGGTGATCTGCTGCAACCAAAGCATTGAGGCAGTTCTTAAAATCAAGCTGCTTTTTTAAATGCTGCGAGTAAGGCAGCATTCGTACTCATAATGGCACAGAAGAAATAAACCATAATACAGTTAATAAATAATAAAACACTGTTTGTTGCCGCTGGAAGTAAATACCCACTTAAAATTCAGAACCAGCTTATGATACCCTATGACATTTCAGTAGGATTGTGGAGCTGCTCAGCGTTAAACATACATAATGGTTGAAACTGCTTTTGAACTGCTTGGCCAGAAATTTCTGTTTCTTCAGCTGAGTAAAGATTTAGATGTGATTGCAAATGATAGTAAGTCAACTAATGCCATTAGTGAGAAGTGATATTAAAACAAAGAATGTAAGTATGCTGAAGATGCCCTTAGATTTATTTCTGAAAACTAAAAGGGGACGAAAGTTTAAAGAGGGGCAGGGAGGAAGAGCAGGAAAGTAGGAGTGAGATAATTGTCTAAGATGGCAGGTATATTAGGCCAGATGGCCCTTTCAAGTTTCTGAAATTTATTGCATGCTTTAAAAAGTGACTTTTAAAGAAGCTTTTTTACAATTCACCCAGATCCAAATAGTAACAAAACATGAATGTAAGGGGTATGCTTCCCCGCCTCAAAATTAGGTATACTCGCTACAGTAATGTATGCATGCTTGTCTGTGAATTCCTGATATGGTCACTTACAAGTTTACTAGGATGTTTTGTAAGAGAAGTCATGCTCTCCTCCGTATTTCAGAGCTTCAGACAGCATCCTTACTTTAATTTATGCTTTTATTTAGATTTCTACATCCAGCTGATCACCATGATAGCTCAGCATGTTCATGTGAAGTTTGGATTACTTCTTGGCTGCCTCAGTGTATCACAGGAAGCACTGACAAAAGAAACAGTCTATCTGTTCTTCATTTTATTACTTGGGAAATTCCGCCTGCTTCAGTGGGCATTGGGTCCTGCAAATATCCAGGAACCACTGCTGCCTTCAGGCTAGTCTGGTACTTGCCACCAGATTGTATGTCTAATGTCTGGCTAATGCACCAGACAGTAGAATCAAGTCCCTTAGACTATAAAAATGTTGCACCTCCAGAATCACAGGAAAAGTGTTTCCTGGAGCTGAGGCGTCAAGTCTGTGAAGGACCAGCAGGACCTTTTGCACTCAAAAAGGAGAGACATTTGCAGGCAGTAACAGAATACTGAAAAAGGTTCCTCAGTGTTGGAGAAGAGAGGGGCTGTCTCCAGCCCTGGTGTGAATTATGAAGAACATTGATTTCTTGACAGTCTCTAAAGTCTCTAAAGACCAGAAGCTACTAAACCACTTGGAGTTCTGTCATTACTGATACCAAAATCTGTGAAATCATGTATTTCCAAGTATTTCCACTGATGAAGCATCATGATGATTCTTAGCTCTGTAGCCACTTCTGGCTGGAGTAGGTGAATTCATACAATTTCAGAAAACTCTATGTGGGGATAAAGCATCCAGGTTGAGCCATGCTAAAGGGATGATTCCTTCTTTTGGTGATGGAACGGTGGGGAAAAATATCCATCGGTTCCAGGTGTTTGGAAGTGAGATGGTGGTAGAAGGCCCAACAAACGAATGCAAACAAACTTAGCATTCTGACCTCCTGTTGTTCAGAAGGATGTTAAAAGAGATGCAGAGGGAGATATCTACAACAAGATGTCCTTTACCCCACTCTTAAACCCTTCTCTGAGCTTGATGTCTGTAACTTCTAACGGGTTAGCAGGCTCCCACAGTGTTCCTTGCTTTGAATCACGGTGGCTGGTTCTGATGGTTCCTCCCATATTTCAGGAATCCCAAAAACTTATTTTCAATTATTTTTTTTTTTCTTATTTTGCTTCTGGCCCCATGCTGATTACATTCTTAGCTATGCAGTTGGCTCATCCTCAAGAAAAAAGAGTAGAGATTACCTCCCACTGAAGTAGGACCTACTTAGTTTTCAGGGGAGAAAGGAATTTCTTTATAGAAAAGCATTGACATGTTTGAAATAATATTAGTTTGAAGCAAGACAGGACCTGTAGTGTGGATCCTATGCCTAGAAGCCTGTATTCTGTTAATCAAAACCTTGTGAAGAAACTGAAGGGCACATATTTGCTCTGTATCTAGAAAAGGTAACGTTCATATTGTGTCATCGAATACTTGAGAGAACAGAGATGGTTTCACACACCTATCAAACAAGTTAGCTGGAAAAACTACACAAAAATGAGTTAACTATGGAGAAAATAAGGATTTATACAGCTAAAATGAAGAGCTTACACCAGAGCTACTACCTTCTAGTAAGCTCCCTTTATCTTGACTAACTTGTTTCCTTCTAGCTCATTAGACTGCTTGTCTAGGATCCTCTAATTCTGATTTTGCAGATGTTTTTTTAGACTGCAGATTTGTGGAATAATATGGTGATTATGTCACATTTACAAACTGCTATAGTCTGCATGACTAGTATAGGATTCCTGGGGATAAATCCTTTCTGGGATAAATATTCACAGGGCTACAGTATTTTAGCTGTGTTGATGATCTGACCCTCTGTCTACAGAATCTATATTCAAGTTTGTAATTTCAGTGTAACCTTTTGTCACTGACTCAAATGGCAAAACACCACTTCCTCCTTCTCCTTTACTTTAAAACCCTGCAGAAGGGTCTTTTTAATACTTATGTGTATAAAGGAAAATCTGGTTTCCTTATTTTAATCTTAAAAATGCCATTTTCTACTTTATTTAAAGACAGTACTACTATGCGTCCTCTCTTTGAATGAGTGCAGTTCATGTAGAAAAAACCTTTCATGATCTCCTGTGTGCTCCAGTCTGTAGAGGGAGATCTATTGGCTATGTCGAATTTCTGGCCTGAGGAGTTGTTCTGGCTACACGTCCACTGTTTAGTAGGTTGAATTTGAAACACTTCCTAGAATGCCTCATCTTTCAACCTCCCTGCAAACAACTTGCCTTCTGTTAGAGTTTAATGGGAAAACAAAGCCCTGTAGAATACTTCTCTGATTCTTTTTATCTGCCAGCTCTAATTTTTTATCTCCTAGCTCTAAAATGCTGATGAATGCCTCCTTCGTTCCCTCCCCTTGTTTCAGGCATTTTGATTGCTATTTGACCCTCCTTTATTATAAAATTCTGGTTATTCTGCAATATTCAAAGAATGTTTGTAAAATGCATAGGAAGAAGACTATATGCTTCGTGCAGATCACTTCTTCTGCCCCTCTTGAACCTCATTGTAGTATACATACTGAATCTTAAAATTCATTGCCCAAATTTGAGCGAACTGGTTGCAGAAATCTTTTAAAATAGATTTGTTCCAGATATTAGTGTATACTGCTGCCAGATGCTGTACTAGTTCATGTTCTTTCAAGAAGAAGCCCTTCTGCACATCTTTGGCTAGCCACCGTTTTGTATCCTGACATCTCTGCTTCCTTCTACATTTTCTGTGTTGTCTCAGGTATCTGGTGGCCTTCCTTTCCATGTACCCTCTGTTAGAAGCCTTGTACTGGGCTCAGCAGCAGCAGTCATTTTTCTCCTTCTTAGTAGCTGGTGCAGTGCTGTGGTTTTGACTTTTGGCCTGGGAACAGCACTGATAACACCGATGTTTTTAGTTGTTGCTCAGTAATGTTTACTCTGACCAAGGACTTTGTGAGTCTCATGCTCTGCCAGGGAGGAGGGGAAGCAATGCAAGGAGGAAGCAGAGACAGGACACCTGACCCAAACTAGCCAAGAGGTATTCCATACCACAGCACATCATGCCCAGTATATAAACTGGGCGCAGTTACCCGGAAGGGCTAGATCACTGCTCAGGTCGGGCTGGGTATTGGTCGGTGGGTGGTGAGCGGTTATATGCTCTTCCCTCGTTATTTCCCTTATCATTATTATTATTGGTGGCAGCAGCAGTGGTTTGTGTTATACCTTAGTTACTGGGCTGTTCTTATCTCAACCCCTGGGAGTTACATTCTTTCGATTCTCCTCCCCATCCCTCCAGAAGCTGAGGGAGGAAGGGGGGGGTGGGGGGGTGGAGTGAGCGAATGGGCTGCGTAGCTGAGTTTAAACCACGACAAGCTTCTAGTCATTTAGGTAGGTCTGAACCTACCTATTTCATGTTAAGGGGATTTTTCTTCTATTGACTTAAATTGGAACAAGATCAAGTTCTTAAAATATTGCAACATCCCATTTTTTGGTATATTTTAAGTTCATTTGTAATAGAGCATGGAGGAAAATAAAATAGTATCCACCTGATCTTACTTCCAGTTCTTATTTTGCCAGTGCATTCTGCTTTTCAGTGATGTAAACATCTTCTTCTGAATGGGTAAGCTGAAAGCAAGTGTTGGACACTGCTTATCATTTGCCTATGGCTTTGAGAAGGCATCTTATTTTCTTAAAATTAGGGTAATGCACTATTTATGGGGATATTAATTTTGGTGTGATGAATAATGTAATGCTTGTGAGCATGCACAGGATGCACTATTTATCTCATATGGTTTAAAGTAATTGTTTTAGCTGAGACAAGAAGTGCATTTGGAATGGGAACTTCAGCAAGAAGCAAGTAAAGAAAATTTTCAACGATATACATATAATTGAAAATACACTTTCTGAGATAATTACCTGAATTCCCTCCTGTTATGAAGCTTTGCTATGAGAGGCTTCCAGTACAAAGTCACTTCATATTAACTACTGTTTTATGCTTCATCTTTACTTTGACAAGATAATATAGGACTTCGTATAAATAAGAGTCATACTACATATATTTTTGCAAAACCAGACTGCCAACAAGTAACATGTCTCTAAGAACCATGCATATTAATAAATATTGCTTCAGTTCTTTCTACTTGTTTTTGATGCTTTGCTTTTCCTTACAATGCAGTAGGAAAAATATTAAGCGGTATAGTGTAATAAAGTAATACCTGGGCTGATCTGCCTGGTGGACTGGACATGAGAAAGTGGGCACTGTATTCTGAGAAACAGGGTAAATCAACAGGGTAATTTGTTCTGCATGAGGTCTTAGACAAGTGAACGCCTTCCTGTTGAAGTTAGCATGCCTGTCTCAACATGGCACTTGTGTTGGACTGTAAATGTGTACATTGTAGTAAGTGCAACAGGTGAGAACTCATTGTATCAGTAGAAAAATGTGTAAGAGGTCATTAACATGTAAAATAAACAACTTTATAAAATTATCTTGATATGCAGAATCCATTGACAAACAAAAAATATGTTGGGAACCTTCATCCACAGATTTCTAACATTTTGCTACAAATGTAAAGCAGAAGCAGTGTTTTCACTTCTGTAAAGGACACAGCCCTTTCTCTGGATGCTTTGTACCTAACGACAGGAAAAAAACAGAATGCACCATAGAAGACAACTAGGAAGACTGCAGATAGATAGAAGTTATCTTACACATAGAATTTTGGTTTATTTGTAGGACTTTCCTTATTTTATTTCAACAATAAATACCTGCAACAGTGAATACCTAAAAATAATACCTCAGCAATACCTTTATTCCTTTTCTGTATGCAATCTTCCTTGTTTACATATACATTAAAAAGAGGCACTGGCTTAAATTTAAATGTAAAAAGCAAAAAGATTTAGAGGTAAGACTGAAAAATTGTAACTGACATACTGGGTCAGATTTTTCCTTTGGATGCACAGAGCTTTCACTAAGGATAGAACACATGCAGGTATCATTTTGCCCTGAGACACATGCTACTTCAATTCCCAAAGGCAAAATCAGGTTCTCATTGAGCATGGCTCTGCTACTGTCCATCCTTGAGCAAGAGTCCTGCAGAATCCAGAAGGAAGTTTTCTCTGTGTGAAGCCTTGATTTTGTCTCTGTTTAAGGCCCATTCTTTTACTGCTTTCATACATGATGCCTCAGTACTTGTGTTGCAAGCTGGTATCCGTTTTCCTCAGTTACTAAAATAGTCCCAAATCACTGTTACAAAGTCTGAAGCCATATTCTGGGTGTGTATTGTAAAACCTGTTATCTATCTACCTAGTCTATTTTCTGCTTTTATAGTGTGATATTTTGCTACCAGTGTGCCACTTAACCAAATGGAGAATAAGATGGAATTTACACTCACAGGATATCCTTACTGAAGTGGTATCATGCCTGCTGCCTGCACCAATTTCATGTAGTAAAGCTATGGCCTCCCTTTGCCCTGCTGCATGATTTTCTCTATGCCTGGGTAGAAGGGGGCTACTATTGAAGGGATGCAAAAATAATTCAGGGGGACAATTTGGTCCTTTTAAAAAAAGAAAATTATGATATTCAAAACATGAGTGAGACATAATCTACCTATCTGTAGTAAAACCTATTAAACTTAGCACTTATTAATGTTGTTTGAATGTCAATTATTATCTTTGTGTAGAAAATATCAGGGCATAAATTGTTTTTCTCTTCAGAGTCCAATAGAATGGTTTTCTTTCTCCATAGGTTTTTGGCTAGACTTCGGTTAGTCTAATATTTATTTATTCTTCCCGTCAGGATTATAGAGTCAACATCTTTCTAAGACAGAAGTGGAATGATCCCAGACTCAAACTTCCCAATGATTGGAGAGGTTCAGATACACTGACAGTGGATCCAACTATGTTTAAGTGTCTCTGGAAGCCAGACTTATTCTTTGCAAATGAAAAGAATGCTAACTTCCATGATGTCACACAAGAAAATATCCTTCTTTTTATATTTCGGGATGGAGATGTCCTAGTCAGCATGAGGTATTTTATTGACCTATTTCTACTCCTCTTTTAAGTGAATTGATATCAGATATATATGCTGCGTTAGACTTAGTAATATGATACAGTTTATGACTAATATTTCAATTTATATGACAGTTTGTAAACAATACCACAATAAATTGTGTGTAAAGAAATCAGATGAAGATGTTTTAAAGCATGTCATTTGATAGCATAGCAGGTACTAGAAATTTGAAATGTATGTAGGCTATCTGAAGTAAAGCCTTCAGCAAAATAATATTATTTGCACATCACTTGAATTTCTACATCAGCCAAAGAAAGTGGTGGTTACTTAGTCAGGATAGAGTGTGTGCAGCTTAGCCATGGCACTCCTTGATGCAGGAAGCGGTGCGTGATTAAAGTGTACATGGATAGCAAAAAGCAACTGGAAGCGAAGCATCTTATTGGACATGAATAAAATCTTTCAAGGTCCTTTAAATACAGAAGCATCACTTCCGGTTTAGGAAGTCTGTGAGGTGTAACTTCTGGGAGGCTGCTGGACATCTAGCACAAAATTATTCCTGATTGCTGTAGTCTCATATTCTTCTTCAAGAGCCTGCCACTGGCCACTGCTGGAGACAGGACTCTCTTTTGTATGGACCTTTGGTTTGGTTATTCTTATGACCTGTATGTATTTTCATCACGTATTAGTAGGTCTCTGATTTGTGAACTACTATATATTTAAAACTCTGTATAAAATTTTACTCTCAGACTAATAGAGATAGCTCAATTTTAAACTGTTACTTATTCATAACTTTAATTTTTTCTGCTATTTTAGAAGCTGAAAATCAAATACCTGAATTTTGTTTTCTTACTGCTGTCTACCATTTTCATGGCAGCTCACACTTTTTTTAAATTCTGTTTCTGTATTTTCAGATTGTCTATTACTCTATCATGCCCTTTGGACTTGACCTTGTTTCCTATGGATACACAGCGCTGCAAGATGCAATTGGAAAGCTGTAAGTAAATCAATCTATGCATAAAACCAGTTGCCTTCTAAAAATGTGTGATAATCAAACAAAAATTGATCAATTCTGTATTGTTCGTGTCAACATTTTAAATGAAAATAGTCTTGAAAATAATCTTCACTGGTTCCTACCAACATAGATTTCCCTATCAAAAATGTTTTTTATGGTTATGGCACCATGCACTCTGTTTTTAGCTTTTGCTATCAAACATAATGACAACTGATGAGTTTTTCAGAAACTTCTACAATAAAGTTAGTAAAATGGAAACACTTATCATTTGGGAAAAAGAATCCATGGTTTCCCCAAGTAATTTTAACTTCCACAACCTGTGCTGCTCTGTAGGTTGTTAGGGATCAATTTATCCCCTTGCACTGAGAATGTATTGCATTGTTTGAAACTCTTTTGATATGGTGCTGAAGGAAAAGTATATGATGCGAATGCATTCAGAACATTTAGCATGAAATCTTTTGAAAGTGGTTTGAAAATGTGTTGTAGATGTAGTCAGGTGTCTCTCCTTTACCAGTCTGGTCTCTAGGTGATTTGATCTTACAATGGGGCAGCCAGGTCTTGTCTGTGAAGGGCTTCATGCCATGCTGGAAGTTGTAGCCAGAATGTTCCTGAAAACCATCTGTTTTCCTGCACCCAAGTAGAAGGGTGCCTACACAAGTAGAGCCTTTTCCCAACACTGAACCCTGATAATCCCACTTTCATGGCAATTCTGATTTCCTAAGTAAAGACAAATGTGAAGCAGAGAGAAGGAAGGTGGCTTGCTCCAGCCCATTCCTGCTATAATACAAAAACTTTGTCGAGTTGTTAATCCACCAATTCTGGTGGGGAAAAGGAGGTTAGGGAAGACAAATGTGAAGAAAGAGGAAGTTTAAGCAAAGCTGAGCAGGGCATCCCAGTAGGAACAAGGGTAATAATAAAATAATAATAATGATATCAGAGCTTTACAATTTAGTTTTTGATTGTCAGCATTTACCTTTAGAATCGTAGTATGTCCATAGCAGTTTAGCCCATCACTAATATATATATATATGTGTTAGCTGAAGTAAACTCTTACAGTAAACACAAATATGTTTGGGATTAAACTGGATTTAGGCAGTAATACTAATGGAAGAATTACTCAAAAAAAATCTCAATAACTTTATTTAAACAGCTTTTAATTGTTAATTTAACAATGACAGTTTAACAACTGTCTCCATGCTAAACTGATATATTCAAATTCAGGAGGAATTTCTTCCTTTAGAAACACAATGTGCGCTAAATTTTCTTCTACCTTTTAATGTAGTTGTCAAAAGTAAGAATTTTGTCAAAAATAAGAACCCTCCAGTTCCAGCAGTGCTTTCCCTGTTAGCCATTGGCAGTTTAATTTTACTTATTTTCAAATCAATATTTTGTTTCTAATTGCTAGATTTTCAGAGCAAAAAAGACCACCCCACCAGCTTTTGCTAGGCTTCTCTCTTATCTACAGTTATGATCCCCAGTTCTACACATTCCATATAGACAAAATTTTCACTGTCCAGTAATTGGTATCATAAAGGATCTTGGCAGACTTGTGATTTGATGTGTGTTGTAAGGGGGTGAGACTGATTTTATGAATGAAGCATTAAAACAACGAATTATATTTTTTTTCATTATTTTCCTTCATGGAGCTTTGACAAATTGTGATTTTTATTATTTTTTTCTGAATCTTAGAGAAGCTTATGAGCATTTCACCTTTTTTCATCACAGCTGTTTTTCAAAGATTAACACACCCCCCACCCCCACCCCCCAACTGTCTAATGCTTCCAGGAAAAGAATTGTTCTTTAAACCTTTTGTCAGAGACTGGAATGCATTCCAGCTCCATCTTCTTCATGTTTCCCCATATTTGTTTCCATTTAACATACAGTATCTCTATTTGAATTAATTAAATCCTTAATAAACAGAAGGTAGCAGAAAAAAGGCATGTAAAATCATTATTATTTTATCCCTATTTAATCAATATTGCTTTATGCTTGAATATTGTGAGCCTAACTTTCACTGCCTTTAACTTGGTGGTGTTGTATATATCATGATTTAGACACTCAGATGCATGCTGAAGTCTGTCGATACTCAGGAGACCATGAAGCCACATCTACTTAAATTCCTGGTCAAGTATTTCCTGAATGGCAGTGCTTTCATGAACCAGGGCCTTTAATCTCAACAATTAAGCAGAAAGGTTGTTTTACACACCAAAAAAGGTTCATCACAGTAATTGAGTTGTTAAAGTCTTTTGAAGTTACTAGGACTTGTGAGTGCTGTTAAAGTTCAGTATATTTTTCATGCTTTGCTGAAGTAGAGTTTGAATGAATAGGGAGGCTTCAAAGCTTCGGAGAATAGAGCTTTGCTTTCTTTGTTTAAACAGTAAGCACTGTAACAAAACCTCTTAATCAGTGTGATATTGCAGACAATGTAATGTTTCACCCACCGAGTCCTAATTTAGGCCTATATTTAAAAAAAATGTAGATGATTATTTCATTTTTGTATTTAATTTTTCTTTAGGAAATAGAAAGTAAAAGAGTGAAAGAAATATTATGCTTTTATGCTAGATTTCCTTGCAGAGTTTACTCTGAGAGAGTTCTTTAAATGACTGTTACTTTTATTTTGTTCTTGTAGTTGGTTACACAACTGATGACTTACGGTTTATCTGGCAGTCTGGAGATCCTGTACAGCTAGAGAAAATTGCTCTGCCTCAGTTTGATATTAAAAAGGAAGATATTGAATATGGTAACTGTACCAAGTACTATAAAGGCACAGGTAGGTAATAAAAATTATTTCCTTGGTAAAATCTTGAAGCTTTCTTCAATTACTGTTTATAGTTAATGGTTAATATTCCAGTTCAAGTCTTACATTTCATGTGATAAAATAGATTAACTAACAAGTAGTTCATATAATAGTAACTGTCATATGTGATTACTGCAAACTAATTAAAATATGGAACCATCGAGGTTGAAGATGAGATTAAATGTTTGTCTTGGTTTTGCTTACATGTCTTGTGTTCTTACTGTCACCAAGGTGTTTCTATAGTCCCAATACATATTTATGCTTGTAAGTGTCCAACTTTTCTGGAAGGCTATTCACACTGAATTATGCCAGTTGAAGCCAAGTAAGATAATTTCAGTTTTCTAGTTCAACTTTTATTACAGAAGTACATAGTGATAAAGTATAACTTCAAATGCTTCACCCTGCAGGTTCTTCTCTTCAGTGTTGTGGAAAGTCTGTCATTATAGAAAGCTGCTTACAATCCTCAGCCCTGTATTAATTTAATCCTATGATTATTTTCTGAGTGTGGGCACAAATTTATTCAATGATTTCTGTACTCTGGCTTTTAATGACATAAAAATGATCTCATTCATTTTGAAATAAAAAATATCTCAAAAGTATTTTTTTTCTTTTCTACTTTGATTGATTCCTGCCTATAATTATATCCAAACTACTCACATATTGTGGCAACTGCAAGAATTTCTACAACAGAAACCAGCAGGGTATATTTTAGTCAGTGCTTTTGCATCATATCAATAAATCTTCCATTAAAACTCAACGAAGATGGCTGTGGTGCTGCATCTTCTGAGGATCCTGTCCAAGTTTCTTGTTTACTATCCAGCTGAAGTTGAGGGTCTGTTACTTGCAGTTGTTCCTAAGCTAGTTCCCAAGTCTGAAGAGATCTCAAGTAACCTTAGCAGATCTCAGAGTTAAGGGATTTAGCTTGAAAAGAATAATGAAAATTGAAATGAGGCTTGTTTTTTGACAGCAAAATGAGTTAGTTCTTAGCCTAACTCCGTAGTTCAGAATGTCAGTTGATATACCATTTGTAAGTAATAAGAAATTATCTCTCATTAGGAAAGTTTTGCATTTGTGAAAACACAACCAACAACTGGCAATAACTGCATTAGTTAGGATATTGCAGAAGCTTGTTTATCAGTAAGAAATATTTTATTCTTAATTAAACAATGAATTCACTGAAAGAAATAGGCTACAAAGTAGTGAAAAATTAAAGGAATGGATCTTTCAATTCCCGAATAAAATTAATACAAATAGGAAAATTAGAAAACTTACTTTTTCCCTGTATTTGAGGGGTAAACCAAAACACTTACTCAGAATTGCTTCTTGTTACTGAAGTTAATTGTGATGATTTTGAGTTTTGCCCTAAATCTAAAATTAAACATCTAAAAAATCTGAAGATATTTTAGGCATTTTAGAAGCCTTAAAGAAAATAATTCTACATTTTACTATTAAACAGGAAAGAAAATCAGTAGTGTTCTCTCAAATTTAAGCACCTTGTGACCACAAGTTGAAATCACACTGTACTCAGTAAAATGGCCACATTTTGTGTGCATGTATGTGATTTGAACATTAAAGGAGGAACATGAAATTTGAAAATGTTTTCCTAATTCTTTTATTGCAAATCCTTTTTTGTTTAAAAATGAAGAACATCCTTGTTAATCTCATAATCAAGACTGGAATTAGTACTTCATTAATGTGAACGGAATATTTTAGTACTCTGAAGTATTTTAAGATTTTTTTTTTTAGTAGTTAGCAGTTGTTTCATTTACTGTAAATTCTTACATTGAAGGTATTTTAAAAAGCAGGTTTTGCACGCATAGTTAAAATTAATTCTGCTAAGGATTTTGTCAGGTAATCAAGAGGCAAATACTCAAAATTATGGCTTATGGAAGAGATTCCTGCCAATTTCAAAGTACTTAATCTTTACTGACTGTTTAGGTCAACTGACATTTTATCATACTTACCTAGGAAGAAAGAGGGTCAACAAATTTGGAGTGACTTTTTGTGGCAAAAAGTAGAATATTTAAGTTTGCAAATTGCCTATTCTTTGTTTACCAATATGTGGGACAGAAGCAAATAGGTCCTTGCAAGCCCTTGAGGGCAATAGATACTGTTCTCTGCCTGATGAATGATTATTCAAAGCCATACAGAATGTATTTCTGGTCTAAGGCAAACATAATGATTTTGAAGATCATCCCTCATTTGAAAATAAAACCTAAAAGTATCTGGGAACTATTAAGAAATTATAGAGGGAAACATTATCAGATAAAAGATCATTGAATAGAATAGAACGAACTATAAAATACCGTTTGGTATAGCCTTTTATACAATGAAATGTTTCCTTAATTTTGTTTTCTTGGCTATTGTGTGCCCAAACAGCACTTTTAAGATGACTTATCACTTTATGGCACTTAGTTGATAAAATTTAGAAGAGAAATAGATATATTTTTGACAGATTCTATCTTCTAAATCAGCACCAACTTTATTTACAGATATAGACTTATCTGAATTTTGAAGTTGCTGTAATAAAACACAAGAATGTCATTTTCTTGTGATAGAATAGTTTATGACATTGTTTTTGCAATGGCAGTTCTGCTAATTGAATAAAAATATGAACAGAATTTGTTTTCTGGTTATCAGGCTTCCTGATCCATCCGTTACCTCCAGTAAAACCTGTATTGTCTGCAGCTTTTTTTTTTTTAATTGAATTCATCTTAACAGATACCTTGGGAAATGTTTGTGTGCTTTAAATCCTTATTTTAAAAGATTTGAGGCAGTATTCCTTGTTTTCAAAATTTACAGTGTCTTTAGAGTCTTTTTGAATTTTAGAAGACTGTACCAATTTTAGAAGTCTCCTATACCAACTTTCAGTACTGGGGGAGTATCTGCTTAGAGTCACATTCAGATCACCTCTTTCCATTCTGAACTTTCTACACTAATATTTCTTAATTCCATCTTTTGCACAAATTAATGCTAAGTAGGCTTTTCAGATGAGCTTCGGCTAGTATGACTGCCAGACCCCATTTATTTTATCTGGACTGCATCTTGAACCCAACATCAAGATGAGGGTTACTTTAACTGCCTGTTACTGATGTGCTGTGAAAAGACAGAGGGTGCCTTACAGAGCACAGAGAGTAGTATATGCCTGACTACACTTGGTGGTTATACAGATGTTTTACAGTGTTTTGAACATTTTTTTCCAAATTGAACTCTTTGCCATTATAAAGAAAATCAAGTCACTGAACTTTTGCTCTTAACTTACATAGAAAAAGGCCTGGAAGATACGGATCAGAAGAGGTTGACCCGCAAAGCACATTAAACATTAACGCATTTATTTCTTTAAAGGTTATTACACTTGTGTAGAAGTAATCTTCACTTTAAGAAGACAAGTTGGATTTTACATGATGGGTGTTTATGCTCCTACACTGCTAATTGTTGTTCTGTCCTGGCTGTCATTTTGGATCAATCCTGATGCAAGTGCTGCAAGAGTCCCACTGGGTAACCTGCGTTTATGCATACTGTCACAATCCACCTTAACACCATTGAGTCATTCTCAGTTGCTTTGACAACATGACACTGGGCACTGAAAGCAACTTCACTTCCATTATCTGCTCATCACTTTCACTGAAACGTCCTCATTCCTAGTCCTGTAAAATTTGCCTCCTCACTGAGACTTCACTTGATAATGGTTACAGTGCTTGTGTAATAAGCACACTGTCTCTGCTCCTCTCAATCCAGATAAAAACATCTCATCCATGTATGAGTGGTGCTGCAGACACTGGCGATATGCAGGTTATAGGAATTTCAACAATTGAATGATGACTTAGAAAGCAAGATAATGAGCAAGGGTCTAAACAGCTACTTCTTGAAGCAGTTTTTTCTGAAGTTAAATAGAAACATAGTGATGTCTGGAAAAGAATTAGCATCCTTGTTACCTGATTGGTTTTATTTCATTAGATACTCAGTTCATGAGAGTGCTTCAGGCTTGTGTGCTTGTGCTGCTGAGCACAACACAGTAGGCAGGCCCTTCACTTATTATGAAATAGTAGGACACAGAGTTAATCAAAACAATATTATCTTGACTAATTGGATTATACGTGTGACTCCAGCTCTGGGGTGGCCAAACCTGCTGACCCCAAGAGTTCAATGAAATTCAGAGGCAGGCTCTTGCATTCTGACACTTCTATTTGCATTCCTTCCCCCATGCCATGACCTCCCCTTCCCCATGGTCTGGCCTCCCCATGCTCCCCTTTCCCTGGCATCCCACCTCCCCAAGTCCATACTTTCCAAATCATTTCCACATCCCAGGAGTTTCAGCGCACCTTTTGTCAGACCCCAGTGATGCAGTTTCAGAGTCCCTCCAGCCACCTGTCTTCCTCAGAAACATCTCGCCCAGACTTGAACCTCCTCACCCCCACAGGACATGACTCCTGTGCAGTCTCAAGTGCACAAACGTGTGTCAATAAGCACCAGAGACCCTTGGAGTCAGGACTTGCCACATCATCTGATAGCTGAAATTGGTGTGTTGAGAGCCAGCTGGAGCAGATATGATGCCAAGTTTTGTTAGGTGGAAAAGCATCCACATACCTCCTGGCCTCAGCCACATTGCTGCGGTCTCAGGTCATCTACCATGCCTCTTCCTCATGTGGTATGACAGGCAAAATAAAATGACATCCATAAATCCCCCACAGTTTAAGAAAGTTGTGAAGGTTCTTGAATGCATCCAGAGGAATGGGAGGGCCAGAAGGCATGTCCTATGAGAAGGACTTTGGGCTTGTCTAGTTTGGAGAAAAGGAGGCTGAGGGGTTGACCCCATTGCTTTCTACAGCTTCCTGAGGAGAAGTGGAGAGGGAGGTCTCTTCTCCCTGGTATCCAGTGACAGGACACATATCAGTGGCTGAAAGCTGCACCAGGGGAGGTTCAGACTGGGCATTAGGAAGCATTTCTTTACCAAGAGGGTGCTCAAGCACAGGAATAGGCTTCCTAGAGAGGTCATCAATGCCCCAAGCCTGTCAGTATTTCAGAGGCAAATGGACAATGCCCTTTACAATATGTTTCAGCTTATGGTAAGCCCTGCACTGGTCAGGCAGTTGGAGTAGATGGTTATTATAGGTCCCTTCCAACTGAAATAGTCTCGTCAATTTTAAAATCTGGAGAACCATGACTGGAGTGCTGCTTGTGGCTTGTGAGCCACAGCTGGCTACCTTGCTCTACTTAAATGTAACAAAACCATTTTGTTTATTGTATCTTTTTTCTAGGGGTCTATTTTAGAATACAAGCCTGCTTTTTTTTGCCTCTTTTTTTTTTTTTTTTTCCCCTGTTCTGTGGACCTTTACAGATATTAATAGTTGCTTGGGGAGGGGTCACAATCTGTATTAATTTGATAGCAAGTAACAAATGAAATCTGTAACCTTGAAAAGTAGCAAGGGTACATTCTATAATGTGAAACATAACACAATGTGAGGAAAAGAAAGTGTGGGGAAAATACAGCATGCATTAAATTAGAAAGATGATAGAAACACAAACTGGAAATACTTTTCACACAGTGAGCTCCAATATGATCAAAACCTGAGTTTTTATAATCCTGTACTTCCAAGAGCCAACCAGACAGGCTTATTAATTATACATTAGATCTATAAGAGGCATAGTGCTGATTTATGTTACATGGATGTCTTTGTGACTCAACATGCATGCTTATTTATTGTTTATTTGCTTTATTTATTGTAAGTGTTTATTGGTTCCTTTTCTGTATTAGCATTTCTGCAATAATGGATTTTCAACAATACCAACCATTGGCTTGGTTATGTGACTTTTCCTGAATCCCCAGAGAAGAAAAGACCTCTAAATCTCACCATCCTTTAATCATGAGTCGTTATTTAGTAACGCAAGGTGTTAAGATTGTCACTGGGGTAAGATTTATGTTTCTGCAGTTTGCAGGAGTGCAACAAGCTAACTCTTCTAGCTACATCCTTGAAGGGAGTTGACCTTGAAATTTAACAAGATTAACAGTTGTTGTGTATAAAGTGAATGACACCTAATCCCAAGTGTTCCCAATGGCCACTGCACTCTCAATAGCTAGATCCAGATCTCCTCAGATGAGAAGCTACTTCATTTGCTTACAAATATCTTAATGCAATTGTACATGGACTTAAATATAGTGGGCTACTGCTCCCCATGGCAAGGCGTCCCAAAAATTTCCAGGTGATTTAGGAATACAAGGCACTCTGAAAGCCAGTATGCAGGTATTTTTGTAGACTGATTAGTGTCCTGGGAAAAGAGTGTATGTTTGTTTGAAGGAAAAACCTGTGTCTATGTAAGAACAAAGTAAGTTACTAAGCCTTATCGATACCTGTATCATTACACCCGACTAGGTCATCTGGTGGTAAGGAAGTCCACAAAAGACTGGTATCTGGTCAAGCGACCTATCTAAGGACAGCTGTGGCTAAGCAACATGAAGACCGATACCACTAAATGCTTCTGTCAAATTAAATGCTGGTGTTTCACCTTTTAATGAGCCCAACAGAAGACTCACAAGTTCTTTACAGTTGGAAAGTGTGATATCATCCATTTAAAAAATTCTTTTCCTTCCCTCACTGCTGTGTGATCCCCAGGTGGAGTAAGATCTTCCCTGGAGCTGTAAGGATCTGGTGGATGTCAGACTTCTGTCCCCCCACAGTGTCCTGACAGGGTGGAGCATTAATCCAGGGTGTAGGCAGGGGTACAGCAATTAGCTGAAAGCTTGGAGTAGTGATCAGTGATATATTCCCCACTTACAAAGGACAGCTAGCTCTGCAGCAGACATGGCACCCCCATCACTCCTGTCCTCAGATCTGTCTTAGTTCTAGATGTTTCATTTTATAAAATTGTAGCAAATGTAGGGTCTCAAAGGAAAAAAATAAAGGTATATGCTAAAACTGCAGTATGAAGAAGGTTTAATGAGATTTTGTGTTTTACTTTATGAAGTTTAATGGCATAACATGTTAGAGTTACCAAATTATAAGGAAGACAGAATATTTTTTCAATACCATTAGTGAGATGAAGTCAGACATTTCTAAAGCAGTAATATAAACCAGATAATATTTTTTTATATATACAGTGCATAATTCACCTGTGGAATTCACTGCCAAGAGACAGTGCTGAGGCTAGGGAGTTTGATGGATTCAAAAAAGGGAGATTTATTTCTCTGGCAGCTTGTGCTGAAATACTTTGCTGGACTGGCACTTCCAGATATTATCCACATGTTACCTAGGTAGTATTTTTAAAATAGTAGCTCTCTACAGTCATGTTTTAGGCTGGGAGTTAACTAACCTCACTGATAAACTACTTTTCCATTGAGAGGGATGCCACACTAGGGGCAAAAATGCAGAGGTATTTCCTAGAAATGCTAGCACTCCCTTTACTTTGCAAGTATGTCCCTTCTCTTTAGTGCTTCCTGAGACGAAAAGGGGGAATTTTTTGTCCCTTTATTTTTATTTTTAATAAATAAATAATCTTGCAGTATATTTGCTCATTCTTCTCACTCATGTTTGAGCCTTGAGCTTTGGACTGTGTTAGATGGGTATCTAGGGCAACTACTGCCAGATGTGTGACTTACAACTCTGATGCTAGGGTCTCCAAGGCCATACCAACTCTGGTCTGGCAGCAAAGAATTGCTTAATAGAATATTTCTGTACTTCTGGCTCCCTTCATTGTTACCTTGAAAACCTAGAAGTTTCTCAGACTCTGAGAATAAACTTTCCATCCTAGGAATCCAGATAAGTGGAAATCAGCATCAGGTCACCACAACCTCAATTGCTCTACTGAGCAAATAGATGAAAGATACACTAACATCTTCTCAGCTGGTAGAATTTGTAAGTTAGTTTTGTAGGATTAAATCCAAGACTGTAAGGTCTACTATTTTAAGCTCTACAAAGTGATTGTACAATTTTTTTCGGCACCAGGCATGATAGTAATAATCACATATTAAGATAATGAACACTGTTAAAATTAGTGGGAAGAAACTGCAATATCCAAGATATTGAGCCAGTCCTTATCATTGGACAATTTGGTTATTCAGGGTAAGGGCAGAGGCTGCCTTTCAAAAGTCTAGTATAGACATGGTAGACTTGATACAGTACTTGATACATGGTACTTGATACAGCACAGTGATAGCGAATGAACAGCAAGCTAGGCTTAAACAGAGGTATCCTATATATGTTAAGAGGCAGTACGGCCTTGTTTGTACTTGTTATTGTAGATCCTTATGATCCATAATTAGTGTTCATCCCCAGACAGCTGGTGTTGGTCAGTGAAAATAAGTTTTCTAAAAAGGGGACTATTCTGTGCTTTCTGTCCTTATGGGAATGTGTGCACTTGGATGCTTCAGATACAGTACATGAAACATAAGCCAGAGCGGACAGTGAATATTGTCTGTTCAGTATTTGCCATGTCATTCTGATCTAACACATCTGGCAATTCTGTTATCCCAGTGGACCAAAAAAAACCCCCCAAACCCAAATAAAGTATCATATCAATCTCATTAAAATCCAAATGGAAACAGTAGCAATAGAATTATGTGTTATTTATGATCAATTAGAATTGAATACTTTTATAAGCCAGTACAGATACTTTCAATTTTAGTAATATTTTCACATCCTCAGTTACTTAAAATGGATCTGAAGAAAATTATCTTCTATGAATTACAAAACATTTCAAGCTTTGAACAGCACGTCAGAAATATAAGAAACGTAGTTGAGACTGAGTATCTCCTTTTGCCAACATTTTCTATAGACAACAATTACATTTCACAAAGCTGCTCACTCATAACTAAAGATTTTTATCATTAACTTTCACAAAACCAAAATGGAACTAAGTTTTCCCCACATTACAGCCATTTCTAAAGTTATCTTTTTCCAAATGTAGCTGTTCTTGCTACTGTTTCCATTTCATAGCAACCTGTGGGAAATCTTGCTGTGAGATCAGGCTTCTATTTTGTCTCTTGTGATGTGAACATTTGGAAGCCTTGTTAGAAGAAATGTTTGTAGAAACCCAGTTTGATGATGAGTGTGACCTTTCAACAGCCTTTGCAGATGTGTTGGTTTTATCATGATAAGGGCTTCCTGAAATGCCTTTTATCTAGAAAGCTTCCTCTAGATCCTTGAAGCTCCAGTAGGGAATGATGGTAGGCCCTCAGTCACCTCTGTGTTTTTATCTTCACAGTGAATTGGGAACACAGACTTATAATGTGCTATTACAGCTTTGCTTTTCAGCAAAAGCTTCCCTTTTATCTAAGGCTTTCATAGCACACTTGGGGACAGGTCATGCAGAGAGTTACTCCTGCTTTAGCACAGTTCAGATTTCTGGGACAACAGTAGTCTAATTTAAGGGACTCGGAGTCTTTTGGTTTAATTATCATGTATTTCTCTTCCACCTTCCCAGACTTAGATACGTGTTGTAAGATAAGTCTTTGGAAGTTCCATTTCACACCTGTGTGGTGTGTGACAGGGCAGGAAAACCACGTCAACAAATTTAACATCATTTATTTGTTTCTTTGCTTTTAAAATGAAGGTACTCATTATTAATTCATTCTTAACTGCAAATCCTACCTAAGTATTCAGTCTAACTTGTTCATTAACTGAAGGCATGTGCACTTCACATTTCTGCTGCACGAACTACATTGTGAAGTCCCATTCCTGTTACGAAACATCATTCAGTATTGTCTGTTTCAGAGAGCACAGCCAGTGGCAGTAAATGTAAGCTTTCTTTAATCAATACTTTGTTTTTCTTCTCATAGGTATTTTCTCAGTGCTCAGCTTGGCATCTGAATGTACCACTCTTGCTGCTGAACTTCCCAAAGTGTCTTATGTGAAGGCCTTAGATGTCTGGCTGATTGTTTGCCTTCTCTTTGGGTTTGCATCCCTGGTGGAGTATGCTGTGGTTCAGGTAATGCTAAACAATCCAAAGAGAATTGAAGCTGAAAAAGCAAAGATTGCCAAGGCAGAGCAAGCGGAAGGGAAAGGTGGAAATGCAGCCAAGAAGAACACTGTGAATGGTACAGGGACTCCTGTCCACATCAGCACTTTACAGGTAGGAGCTGTGAAGCTGTGTATGCAAAATCAGCATTATCCTCTATTAATTCAATTCCAGGAACATACTGTCTCAACAGTTTTAGATAGTGCTTAATCTTGGAAGTAGCCAAGACATTACAAACATGCTGGTAATTAATGGCCGGCAATCTGACCAATTGGTCCCTAGCAATTTGAGGTCATATACGCTAAATGAAAAATTTGCCTTTTAATATCCTAGCACCATAGTTGCTGCTGAGCTTCAGGTAAATAAAGTAGCAGCCAATTTACAGTTGGTATTCTTCTCATCATAAATAGCAGCTGTCAAACAGTAACTATTCAGAGGACAGGACTCTCGGTCAGTATTTGCTGAGAGCATACTCAAATAACACCCCTCTCATTGCTTTCCCTGGGGATGGCCACAGCTGCACTGCATTGCATGTCAAGCATCTCTGAAGACAGGGATCCAGAAGTCTTGGCATTTGTAAACAAAAGACAGGTCTGTTTGTCTGTCAAACAGTTGCTGCGTTTCTGTAGTTGTCAGAGTTTAGGGTTAAATTGGTCAGATGTCTTTATATGGATAAAGACGAGATGTACATGTTCACTTAGGCCAAAGTTTTCCATCATGTTGCCAAATTCCTGGTGTCGTAAAACCCCTTTTTTGTGTTCAAAGGGTTACCAGACATCCCAAGCCAACTGCCCTTGGTCATAAGTGATATTTAATTGATATTTATGCTGCAGAAGAAAACACATTATGCTACAATATGTGAAATATTAATTTGGCTTATAGTTTTCAATGACTCAGCAATTTTGATGTATAAAATAAAGCTATTAGGCCAGATCCAAGAGATAGTATTGGTAGCATACAATGTAACCTTAAGATTTCTTTAAGGAGGGAATAGTTTATGCCAGAATGGCAGAAACCCTGTCATAGTATAATTCTGACATTACCTCATAACTAATTACCCCCAGTCCAGAGGAGCTGAAGATATTGCAGAGCAGTGCATAGTTAAACTACCATGATTCTCACTTGGTAGCAGTCTCTGGGGAGCTGTTTTGGCTGGCAACCAGGCTCAATTTAGAGCAACCCAGTAACTTCTTTGATTTATGTCACAAGTAATTCCCCAAGCCCACTCAATATGGGAACTGAGTAGAAAGAAGTTTTGCTTCCACTGAACTGAATGTGATATTTTTGTGTTCAGTAATTTCCAGGTCCCAAATTCAGGTGTTTCTTGGGACAAAATAGTTGCAACAGTCCAGAAGAGCAGCATAAAGTCTGTTTATTCCTATATCAAGTAATTAACCAGTGTAAGCGTTCAGTTTGATCAACAACAAGATTAACAAAAAACTACACTTTTTCAGTAGTGTGAACAAACCCAAATTGCTAAATTGCTGACCCTCCTCAGCGTGTACACCCTTTAAGGGGCTTGTCATTGTCATAGCCTTAAGGAGAATAAAATGGTAGCTTTTATTGCTTATGCTATCCTTTTAATACTTTTTTTTTCAAGAATTCAAGTTTTGTGTACAGTGCATTTTAAGACTTACAGGAAGGGGAGTTACCGCCCACAGAAATTAAGCAATGTTCTCCATAAATGGTATCTAGTGGTAGGCTGAAGGTTTGGGGGATTCAGACTTCAGTCAGCCTTCCAAGATCTTGCAGTGTCTCCCCTCCAAGATCTTGCAGTGTCAGCTCCAGCATCTCATGTTTGACATGCACATTTCAGGGTTTCCCAATTTGTTATCAGAGACCTTTAGCATTCCAATATCTATAATCTGTGCAACAGTAATCTGTGTTGGATTTGTATGGGCATGCGTAGCTTCTGATGATATTCATACAGAGACTTACAAAACATTTGTTTACTGAGACATATTAGAGATAGGTATTTGTTGCTGTAAAAGCTGGCTGAGTGGTCACTTCGCCTCATGGCTAGTGGTCGATTCAGTTTGGATCCAGCCACCTGCTTTGAAATACAGCCTACCCAAGGAAGGACATCCTGGGCTGGTAATTTCTGGGAAGGTCAGGCTAAGACATAAAAAAAGGCCCAGACTGATGAATCATTTGACATTGGGATGTGGTAGGACTATATATATCTATTCATATATATAGATTTTAGATATATGAATGCTATAAATCTGCCCAGCTGAAAACCCTCTTTCTGAACCAGCTACCATGCAGGAGTACTTTCAAAAGTTCTCAGCCCTGGAGAAACCTGTACTAAACTCCTAAATCAGAAAAGATCTAAATCTTTCAGTAGCTCTGACTCCTAATCCAGAACTAGTCCTGCCCCACAAAATTTGGATTGTTTCCATACCGACCTAGAAACGATCAAGTAGAGAATGCATTTGTCATATGGCAAGTATGCAGGGAGGGAAACATTAAAGAAACAGGTAGTGGAAAAAACTGTCTTTTGAAAGGCATAAAGAATACGAAACAAAAAGAGGCCAGAGTGCTGTCCCAGAACTTCAGGAGATGTTTCTCATCAGGATTGAGTAGGATCGTGTGTGAGGAGAGAACAAATACTGTGCTAAATGTCTGGAAGTATTTAGGCAAACCAATGTATAGCTTTAGGAGGAAAGCACAGAACTGCATTCCTGCAATGAGTGTACATCCTGTAGAAATGTTTGAGGAAGTTCTCTTTCCACACAGGAGGTGATGATAAGGCAAAAGTTACTGAGGGTGTAGCTGTAAATTTCACCATAACTAGGCTTGAAACAGTATATAAACCAGATGGGACTCAATGGAAAAGCCAACAGGAAAGAGCTGAAAGCAGAAAACTCTGAGTGAGAAAAAACAGAGCATGAATAATTGCATTTATAAGTGTTTCTCCAGTTTAAATGAAGCACTTACTTATTATGAGACATTAAATGAATGGTGCTGATATTTACCTGTAAGTTATTAGAGGGGAATTGAGCTTAAAAAGGTACATTACTTTATTTCACTTTAAGATGCCCCTGATCCTGATGCCAGGTCAGTTTGCCAGTGTTCTCTGAGAAGCGAATTGAATTCTTGCTGCCTCTTGCAGCCATGCAGTATTGCAGCAGTGATGTCTCTCCAGGAAATTTGGAGAAGGGGCCATATATGAGGGTTGCTGGGGTGGAAAAGTCCAGGTCTGGGAAGGATCAGAGGGAGCAGAGAGAAGCAAGTGGGGCTGTCAGGCATCCCTAGGACCAGCCCTCATGGAGCAATTTGTTTTCATGTGCTTGCTCCATTTACGAAAGATAAAAAGTGCATCTGGTCTGTTTGATATGAATGAAAACAAGCCATAACAAAAACACGTGATCATACTTAAAAGCACAAGCAGCTATTGCTGCTTTTTATGACAAGAAATTGGGTAAAGGGATAAACTTTTCAGTACACCCTAAATATTAAAAGCTTGATGGCATTCATAATTGAAGATAAGGAGAAGAGATCCCATGTAACAGAACCTGTAAGGGCCCACCTGGAAGTTTTCAGTGGAAAGCATTTTTGTCACTGTGTCAGTGATGATGACCGATAGCCACCAACAGCCACAGTGAAGATGGAAGGATGAAAACAATGCTCACAATTTGCCAATGATCCAAAGATGGAGAAAGGCTTCTATGGATTCACAGTTCCATGACGTAAAAGCTGCATAGTGCCAGCATACGCCAAAACCCTGAATCCATGCTTTATGACTCATGCCCCCTCCAATAAAACCCCTCAAAATGTCAGTGCCATTTTAAGCCCAGATGCTCTATCGTTATGACTGTCTGATTAAAGTCAAGTGGTCCATCTGGCAAGATCACCCTGAATCTGTAGGAAAGAAGAGTAAAATCAACGTAAGCACTTCTGATGTGTTTTTCTGGGACTGTCAATGGCTATACATTTACAGGCAAAAAGCCATGAGAAAATACAGCTTGGCTCCCTTAGCTCATAGCAGCTGCAAGGAGATGCTGTTCCAGGCAGAGGAGAAAATTATGCAACCTGGTGGTAACTGCTGGCACTGGGATTTTATTGGGAATCCTCAGTAGGAGTTTGTGTGTGTTTCCTAGCAATGCAACATCATAAGGTGAGAAAAACAAGCAAAAAGGGAAATGTTTTGAAGATGACTCAGCTTACTTTTGCTTTCACTGGTGGTGTGATTACAAGGGGAGATTGCACTGTTAACTATAACAGCACCCCTCAATTTCAAAAGTCACATTTTCATCAAGCCCATTTATAGAAGCTGTCCCCCACAGATAATGTGATGCTGACTGGAGAGAACATTTGCTAAAAGAATGGCAGATGATGAATAGTGCCATGCAAGTGGTGGTAATAGCTCTAAACCCAGCTATTTTTGAAAAAAAAAAAAAGTAGTTCTTTTGCTTGCTTTACCTTGTCAGAGCCATGTCTAGACTCCGAAATGTGACATAGGCTGTGTTCATCTCTACTGATTTATAATACACCTGACCACTGGTGGTGACCTAGTCTTCCCATACTGTCTTTTCTCCTCTAGTGGCACTCCAGACTCATATTTTTCTTGTAGAACCATCAAAAACCCAGTTTATATTTTATTTTGTAGACAAAACCACAGGCTGCAGTCTATTTTAATAGTTTCTGACAGCATTTCAGGTACGGAGTAGGTGCTTTCTGCTCTAGTGACTCATGTATCCATCCCTGCAGATAATTCAGAACATGACTGTAAAAAGACCCTGAGCAATCTGCTTTGAGCAAGGCATTGGTCTAGGTGATCTCAAGGTCCCTGCCAACCTTAGCCATGCTGTGATTCTGTGATACTTTATATATAAATATTTTTTGTGCTGTACTTTGCAAGGAATATTGAATAATACTTGCAAGAAAAATTGAATAATCGAAGATTCCTGCTGAGCTGCACCAGAAAATATGCTTAGTCTTAATATACACTAATGCTAAACAATCATTATTTTGTTGATGATCCACACCTATCATTATGGCAAGAGCAAGAGAAGAGCACAAAACAAGTGCAAGAAAGGTTAATGACAAGAGTTTGTTAGAAAACTCCTCCTTCATCTCGTATGGAAGACTCATACAACTGGCAGCACTAG